TACGCCTGGCCTCATTCCTTATTTACCTGCACTTGTAGCAGAATGAATGTATTTCAAATCAGTTTTCAGGTTTCCAGTTTGATTTTTCTGCACTATTCACAGTCTGATGTATAACACTGTGGTAAAATTGAGTGTGGCTTGAACAACACAGTAGGACTGAACTGATTATTGCATAAGAAATCTTCACAAATAAATGTAAAAATTTATTAATTTATTCTCTATGAATAAATGTTTTAGGTTGTTAAAAAGTAGCTTCCTAAAGTGATTTTGTGTGTTCATAGTACAGGCACCTACTCTCTGGCCTCCCCATGTCTGAGTCTGTCTTGTTTTAAAGTATGTTTCATAAAACACTAGTTCATTGATCTGCTTCACAATAAAAATGATATAAAGTAAATAAAATAAAATAATATATTTTGCACTGGGCCAGATCCTATTTCACATCATGAACATTATTAACATGTTTTAGAGCTCACATATACTAGCAGTTTATAAAAAATAGTGAAGACAAAAATCTAATTTTCAAAACTGGTGTTTCTCAGAACTATTTTATTAACTCCCTTTGTAATTATATATTAAAATTCCTCAGAACTAATGTTCTAAGGAACTCATTTAGGGAAATATCACAGTTCATTCATTTTCAGATGCACATTTTTTTTCACTTGTTAACACCTCTAAAATTGAGATGCTTTCTTACATTTGTTGATGTCTTAGGTTCAATGAAAATATGACATTGCCCTAGCAACTTTAAGGACAAATATGTGTGCTGTTTTAGTTATGATTAGGCTCAGCTGAGAGTGACAAGAATTCAAAATGACAATTCCTTAAGTAAGATAGGAACCAATTGCTCACCAGTAAATCTAGAAGTGGGTAGCCCTGCGCTAGACTTGTACTCTGTGGTGTTGGATACCCACACTTCTTTCTTCTTGTTGCTCCATCACCCAGCACCTTTATCTCCAAGGTCCTATAATGGTTCAAGGGGACTGCTGTATGTCGATCCATAATGCCTACTGAACAAACATGCCGGTAGTGTTTTTGCCAGCAGAAAAATACAAAAGATCAAAGGATTAAAAGTCAAGGGCCAGCTATCTCTTAAGGAAAGATCTCAGAAGCTGCCAAATAGTACTTCTGTTTACATTTCATTAGGGTAGAGCTTAGTGATAGCAGCCTGGGTAGGGAGGTTGATGGGGGGTGTGGGGTGGGACTGGGAAACGAAGTCACTTTTCTGAACCTGAATGTGCTAAATAAAAGTTCTATTCCTATGAAGAAAAAGGCAGAACTGGAGATGAGCTAACACTACCTGCCGTAGGGCAATCACTGTGCATATTGATCTTTACAAGAAAGAGATCATTAAAAAATTACCCTATTATAAAAAACTAGAGACATATCAAATGATACCTCTTTTAAAGGTAAGTCATAAGGACAAATATTGTTGAAGATGAGAAATTTATTTAGCCAGTAGCAACTAGAAAATTAGCCCTTTCATCCCCAGTATCAAATAGTTCTGAAATCTCTTGGTATTCATGGTCACTGAGCTTACATTGTAAAGGTCATACCAGAATTACATTCTCTGTTGCTTCATTTGCTTCTCAGGTCACTATGAGCATCCAAGTTTAAGTGGGTAGGGGAAATACAACTAAGGATAGAGGGGCTGATTCATACAGGGGATGTTATACAGATAGAGACTCAATTGTGAGAATGTCTAGAATTTATTCTGAGGTTCCTGAGAAAATTGATCAGTTTTTCTCCAGCTACTCTGTGATTGCATTTCCACCATGCTTTTAGAGATTTTAATTTAACTAAATGCAAAAGTTATACAGTCTTCCAATATGTATCATATTTAATCCTCATATTTACCCACAGTATCTTTAATTCCTAATTTTTAAATGGAAATACTGAAGCAGGGAGACTATTCACATTGAGCCTCAAATTTGGCTAATATTGATTTGAAAATATAATTAGATCCTGATTAAAATATTTTTCAACATTACAATTAAAAGAATTAAGCATGTCTATATAAAATTCATCTCTTAAAAATGAATTTCTATCTACTTAAGCCAGTGCCATTTTGGATTTTCTGTCACTATCAACTGGTCTTCTTGATTATTTTGCTTATTAACCAAAAAATGTTAATTAACAACAAAGGTATCATTCATTAAGGTCACACTTCCATTACCAATTCCTAACACTTGTTATTCTGTGATGCTTACCTTTATTTATAAACTCTAAAAAACTTACTTAACAGAGGAAAACAGTATTTTTGAAATAATGAGATAGAAAATTTTCTGTGTTTTTATAATATCATATTAGCTGATATATTGTGAGGTACATAAAAAATATGTATCTGCTGGGCCTCAAATCCTAGGAGCTTGTTTTTAGGAAAAGCAATAATAAATGTAATGATCTTGAAAATCCAACAGATGAGCTTCATAAATTTATCTGTATTAGTGGATTGATATATATGTTTTGAATAAAAATGTCATTTTGTTTATTGTTTCTCTATTGCCTTGTCTTAATGAGAAGGATTAGCCATTTTTTTTAATTTTTAAAGAAAAAATCATAAAAGCTACAAATGCATGCTGGTATTATAATTTAACTTAATGTGACTATGGAGGAAAACATACTTTTACTTGATATATATGTATTTCATTATTATTATTAAATATGTATTGAGTATTTCCCATATGCAGAGCACTCTGGTAGGCTTTCAAATGTGGAGGTCAAATTTTAAATAACCAACCCTGTAGAATTAATTGTATTGAAAGTAATAGTTATGTGTTCATTGTATCAATAGAGCAGAAGGATCACGTCCTAGCTTTGTCATTAAATTGAAATTTTAAAGTGATAAAATAACTGGTACTCCATCTATTTCTCTGAAAAGACGAGGCAACCTAGTATTATAAATGCTTGAAGGTGCACTGACAAATGAATAATATAAAATTGGAAGGGATGAGTTTAAGATATGTATATTTCTGTCCCAGCTAGAAAGGTACCTTTTGAAAGTGAGTCTATATCTCTCAAATTATCTACCCAGAGCAATAAATATGTTTTGCCTCAACCCTAAGATTCTGCAATGCAGTTCATCTAATGGCATCAAAACTTCCAAATCACTTGGTTTTCTATGATACTATCCTTCAAGTTATCATGCAAGCACTTCACAATGATTTGCTTGATGTTTTTGGCATTTTCTTACATGATCTAAATAGCAGTAATGGAACTCAGGATATAGTCATTTTTTGATCAGGTGGTAATAGTTCCCTAAATCAAAACTGAACTCCCCTATTAAAATACAAATTGATAAATTATTTTGGATGAAACTCTTTTCAAGCAGACGCGTAAATTCTAAATGTTCCTTGTTTTAGTCTTGAAAGCTATTACGTACTTACTAGAAGTATTTTTTTTTTTTGCAAGATACCAAGCAGATCAATAATATGACTGGTTCAAGGCACAATCATAAAACTTTTAAATTGGTAAAATTTTATCTTTTACAGACATTTTACTTCTGCTGCAAATTATCCATTTATTTTTGATAAAGTAGGGAAACAATACAAATGAAAGTTAAGAATTTTGAAACTTGGGTGTAGTCCTAGTCCAGTCTCATTTAACTGAGGGACTGAACATGTCTTTTAACTGTTAAAAGTTAGTTTTCTCATTCATTAATAGAACTAATAATATTTGTCCATGATTATATCACATAGGAATATTAAGAATATAAAATAATCAGTATGAAAACATTAAACCACTTTCAAAACTTTAAAGAACTCTCAGAAATGATTGGTATGTGTGTATATGTGGGTGAGAACATGTATACACAACTGATAAAAAATTAATAAATTGTTTATAAGCCTGATTATTTTTGGAAGTAAAGGTCATCTCTTTAGAAAAGTTTGGGAAATAACAGGTTACTGTGTTCTAGTTTTTCTTTGAATGAAATGACCAGAACAAGTTTCATACTTGGTCATACCAGAACAAATATTCATTGCCTTCTTGGAAAGATGGCGGCCAAAACTGACTTTGTCAGGGCTTATACCTGGGCCCTTAAGACATTGTGGTTTTGCACAGTTGCTCTTAGACACTTTCTAAAGTCCTTTTTTTTATTCTGAGACAAAGTCTTGCACTATCGCCCTGACTGGAGCGCAGTGGGGTGATCTTGGCTCACTGCAGCCTTCGCCTCCCAGGTTCAAGCGATTCTCTTGCCTTCTTGCTTCAGTCTTTCAAGTAGCTGGGATTACAGGTGCCCACCACCACATATAATTTTGTTTTTTTTTTTTTTTTTGGTATTTTTAGTAGAGATGAGTTTTCACCATGTTGGCCAGGCTGGTCTTGAACTCTGGACCTCATGATCCACCCACCACTGCCTCCCAAAGTCCTGGGATTATAGGTGTGAGCCACCATGCCTGGTCCTGAATCCTTTTTTAGTATTCAAGAATTTTATAAATATTGTTCCAGTGTTAGTATTTGTGCTGCTGAAGTAAGCACAGATTTTATAAATATCAACCAATTCATCCCAGTTTTATTTCCTAATAGCTGGTGCAAAATTGATGTGGTCCTTGGGGTTCTAATACACATGTAATACATAATTGTCAGAAATGCACCCTTTCAAAATTAATTTCATCTCAGAATCGTATACACTCTTTAAAATAGGAGAGAAAAGTAAACATTCTTTATGAGGACAAATTTGAATAATACCATGTAGTCTTCCTACGGATGAGCAAAACTCTGATTCAAGGTGACAGAAACATTGGCTGATAGTATTGCACTGTGCAGTAAACCAGAAAAACCATTCTATGTATTATTCTCATGACTATGTATTAGGTTATGAGTTCCCACATTGAATTGTCATTTTTAACCATAAAGTGAAATAGAAATCCCACATAGCTATAGTTCATCTGGAAACTTGGATGTATTTTAAAAATAATTGTAACTTTATAAAAAGGCATGACATTTTCCTATTGAGACATATTTGAGAAAATCTCATACATGTACCTCTTCTTCTTCTTTAGGCTTCTTTACCTGCAACAACTGATCTTCCAGAATTTTTTGTTGCTTCTTATAAATGGCCTGGATGGACACATGGCCCATTGGATCAAAAAAATTGTGCTGCATCCTGGGCATTTTCCACTGCAAGTAATAAAGTCATTTTAATTCTTTTCTTATAAGCTACCCCTTTTGGCTCTAGAGACTGAGAGAATAATCAAACAATTAGAATATTTAAATATTAGCATATGATAAAATAAAATCTCATTGTGCTGAAGAAAGTAACCTGAAGATTATATAAAAAATTAATTTTTCGTCTAAAAGTTGTATTTTATTTTTAGAGTGCAATTTTAAATAGAGAGTGAATCAAAAGAGTTACAAAATAAAGTTGCTAAAATGCATTTGTCTATTCAGAGTTAAGGCCAGATGATAAAAAGAGGATTAAGGTTCTTCGTCATTCATATGTTATTTATGATTCTAATATACATATAGATACACCCACATAAACCTCATTTTCTGTTTTCTTTATGTAGTTTGCAAAGCTGTAATTAATCTAATTTGGTATAAAGTAAGACTTTAAAACTAAATAATGATGGATCAAATGGATTTTATTTCATTTTAAATAAATACAGGTTCTGACTCAAAAGTAATATAACTGATCTTCTAATCAGAATAGTTTCCAAATTAAGTCTACTATTACTCAAAAAGTATAAACAATGATTCTTTTATAGTTACTTTTATAGAAGTTCACAAGTCCAGTAAAGTAGTTACAGGCTAACCCTCAAATTTGGTCTCCAAAATTATCCTCAAAGGAGTGCTGAATATATTTCAGCAATTAAGTGAGAGCTAACATGATGATGATTGGCTGTCATTAAATTATTTTCATAAAACTAAGCTCTAGGGCTTACAAGTAACTTTTAACAGTGCAAAAACAGTTTAAAGTCATGGAAGGATTGTGAATAAGCACATAGGCTCTTCGAGAAGCCAGCTCTGAAAGGTAGCATATTCTGGGACAGAGAAATGCTAGTATCTTTGTCTAAATATCATTGCTCCATGGTATCAATCAGACAATTCCGGAAATACCTTTGTTAGTGCCATAATGGTAGTCCAGCTCACCCCAAGCGGCTACATTTATCAATTCACTGCTGCCCACACCCCCTCTCTGGCTGTCTTATGCTGTCCTTGATGTGTTAGGGACACACATGGAGACCTTACTAAGCCAAAATTTGTTTGTCTATTGATAGTTAAGGCAAGATAATAAAAACAAGATTAAGTTTCTTTCAGATGGGTGGAGAGAGATTTAATATAATAAACCATCTGCCATTTTTTGTTCATGTGGTTAATGTGTTACACCTAGCAGGTGATCAATAAGAATTTTGTCTAAAATTTACATTATGCCACTATTTCTGAAGATGTCTAAGGAAAAACATTAATGGTGAAATACTGAAAGGAACTTGCTAGGCTGGAGGATTTATCTTGGTGTTCCAGGTCACAACCCCACAGATAGCCTCTGCACTGCGCCAAGTCGGGGCCGTTTCCCTGCCTAATTCATGGAACATCAGAGAGAGGTTTCCTTCTGTGATTCCAGAGGACATAGTTTTGTATCCTGTGTATTCAGTATGATAAATTAGGGCAATTTTTTGGTTAAAGAAAATAAATTATGAAACTCTAAAAAATTATGTCAGAAAGTATTAGTTACAAAAAAGGATTATCTCTCAGAGAAACTAAAAGCTATAAAATGGAATAAATAAGACTCTTGACAATATGCACGTATATTTTAAAGAGTTATTAATCAAATCAAATTCAAGCCATTTGTCAGAAGCTGAAGAGATAAATAGATATTACTCCCACTGTCATAGTGGGAGTAATACATGTTACTTATATTTGAAGACAGAACAAAACAAGCAGGGGAAAGAATAGAGCATGTCTCAGACGTAATGTCCAGTGAAAGTTTTTAAGAAGAGGGTGGGATACAATTGGTTGAAATTAGTCATTCTTAAATCTTCTGACCTTTTCTAAATATTTCAAGTGAATTTTGACTAAACCACCACTGAGATTCAGAAATGTCAGTATAAGAGCAACTTATTGCATAACATTGGGATTTAAAACACTTATCCTTTAGATAAAATCTACAGATTCATGAGGCTGGAAGAGATTTTAAAGGTCACCCTTTTCAAGCCTGTAGTATTATAAACGAGGCCCAAGTAGGTAAAGTGGCTTACCTGAAGCCAAAAGATGAGAAATATCACAGATATCCCTGGAAACCAGGCTTCCAACTTTTGGGCTACTATTTTCTCTACACTATAAAAAGTATTTTCTAAATGAATACACAGTTACACCAACATTTAAAAAAATTTTATTCTAAATCTTTGTGCTGAATGTCAAAGCATCAAAAATTTCTCCTTTCTTTGATGAAATAGGGAGTTATTTTCTTGACACTATCAGAAGTTGTATAATACCATTTGCTCCTATGAAATATAACCTAGTACAATAGTAGACGGAATTCGAATAGGGAGTTGGAGGTTACAAATTTCACACATATTGAACGTCTAAAGAATGCCAGCAGTTGCCCTACAGCATTGTAATATGTTGTAGTTACATCAAAATCATGTGTATACAAAGATACATATGTAAATGAATTAAATGAATTATTTTAGAAAAATTTTAAATTAGCACCTTGAGGGGTTTCAGGACACTGACAATTTTGATGAGAGAAATACTATAACTTTCACTAAGAAATGTGAATGAATGGAAGAAAGGTTATTACTTTGTTGCCTTTAATTAAAAGCCAGTGAGAAACTAAGCACCCAGAACAAGACTGTACCAGATATTCAACAACAAAAATGTCTGTACTGAAGTAGTACCCACTCCAATTTTCTCGTGATCTCATCACTCACATTAGTTTATTTTGGTACCATAATCAAAATGAGTACATGTGTAGGATTTTGCTATTGGTTGGTTAGTTCCCCTGGTCTGTTATTGTACGAAGGAAGAAGCGTCTCTTGTTTCTTGTTCATCATTGTAATTTCCAGTGCTACAATGCCTGTCAGCTAATAGGTGTTTAATAAATGTGTTGAGGAAAGGAATGAACCAATAACAATTACAATTCTAGGGAATCATTTAAACAAAAGAAGTTTTAATAATAAGTTCGTGTGTGTGTGTGTGTGTGTGTGTGTGTGTGTGTATAACTAATGATATGACTATCATAAATATATTACCAGTTGTATATAGCATTACATATAATCAGTTATATAGCTATTTGATAGTATATATATAATTACAATATAGCTATATGTGATAAATCATATGTAACTAATATTAGTTAATAATAGTTACAACCATTAATAATTGTAACTAAATAAATATATTCAGCTTATTTTATATATAGGTATACATAAGCTGAATTCCATGTCTACTGAAACAAGATTAAGATAATAATCTTCATTTATGTTATGAGCACAAAAGTGTGCAATGTAGCTTTTAGATATTGTAGAAAATAAATTCATATTAGTCTCGATTAGCTTAAGTCTCCTGGGTAGCTAAATTAGATATCAGTTTAAAAACAAAGGAGTCAATTTTATTCCAATATATCAGATAACCGTGGATGAATTTCCAGTTAATAGTTCTATGATTAGTTTTCTTGATTACTCCAGTTTAGTTACACTCATTTAGAAAACATATATTGCCCATGACTACATGCAAGGTACGGTTCCTGGTGCAGGAAATTGAAATATAAGGAACATACGGCTCTTGCCCTCCAAGAGTTTCACTTGACAGATTACTCGATGAGTTCAGAAGTATATAGAACATCAAAGGAACAAGAAACCAGAAAAATCTTTGAAGTCAATAGGACAATGGAGTAATATCAAAATAGGACAAAAATTATGACTGAAAGTATGACACAGTTCAACTGGTTGGAATACATAAATATATTAATGCTATTTAGCTTTTATTAATTATTAATTATATACAGTTTTAAAGACTAGCTTAGGGTTCAAACAAAAAGGATTATGTATGTTATTAGGAATGCTATGTACCATTTGAATGTTAATTGATAACTCTGTTTGAAATAGGTGTGGCTGCTGACCGAATAGCAATTCAGTCTAAGGGAAGATACACAGCCAATCTATCCCCTCAGAATTTGATCTCTTGCTGTGCCAAGAACCGTCATGGATGCAACAGTGGAAGCATTGATAGGGCTTGGTGGTACCTGAGAAAACGTGGGTAAATAGCTGCCTAACGTGTTTCTAGGATTTTTATGAGTGGTACATTGTGTTAGAACAAGGAAAAGAACCTCAGTATTTTAACAAAAAAAATTTAAATATATATATACACACACACACTACCTCTACATGAATATAAATATGCTATTTAAATATGCACTATATTTGTTATCTATTGAAATTAGAAGCTATTAGAGACACTTCTTGAAGAATGTATGCATTTCTAGCTAAACTAATATGAATTTTACTTTTGAAGATGCGAGCAAACATTTCTTCTTGTTGCTCTGATCCAAGTGAGTCCCCACAGACAGAATAAAGTAATCGGGGTTGCAGATCTCTCTGTCGTGCTTTTCAGTTACCCAGGTTGATGAATAGATATAAGAAGAATAATGTAAAGAAATAATTTACAGTTGTTTTAATTCATCAGTATGGTTCATTAATTGTCTCCAACCCACTGGATAAAAAAATGGGAGGTTACATTTCCTTAGTCTCATGTAGCCTGATACCCATATAACATCCTTGTGTCTGTTATAAGAGCTGATCCACTAAAAAGCTGAATTATTTAGCTAAGGAAGCTGCTGCTGATAAAGAGTGGTGTATATATGTACTTCTCACTTGCTCTTCATCGTTCACTCAGTGTTCTGGGTCTGCTACAGGACCAGTTAGATGCTATAGAAGATAGTGGATGTCAGATTTTGATGGGTTGCAATAAATTGCTTTAAATATTTTCATGTTTTGCCTAAAATGTGATGCTTTGAATGGGCAACTTAGGCTGATATTTTCCTGGTGTACTAGTGCTTGGTTGGCTTCTGTTTTGTATTATGATAAAAAAATAAAAGCCCTTTAAGAGCTTAAAAATGTAAATTATCATTGAGACCCAACTAAATCTTATTGTATTGGACTGCTTGGGGTACTACGAACAAAATTTCGTAGACTGAGTGGCTTGAAAAGCAAGCACTGATGTTTTGGAGGCTGCAAAATCCAGGACCAAGTTGCTGGCTGATTAGGTTTTTGCTAAGGGCCCTCTTTCTGGCTTTCAGATAGACACCTTCTCGCAGTGTCCTCACATGATGAAAGAGAGTTCTGGTTTCTTCCTTTTCTTATAAGGGCACTAATGGCATGTTATGATGGCCCTACTCTCATAACATCCTTTAAAGTGAATTATCTCTCAAAAGCCTACCACCAAATATCATTACATTGGGTATAAGTACTTCAACATACAATCTTTTTCTTTCTTTTTTTAAATTATAAGTTCTGGGGTACATGTGCAGATCGTGCAGTATTGTTACATACGTATACACATGCCATGGTGGTTTGCTGCCTCCATCCCGGCATCATTTACATTAGGTATTTCTACTAATTTTATCCTTCCTCAATCCCTCCTCCCCCTGCTATCTCTCCTATAGCTCTCCCATCCCCCAACAGGCCCTCATATATGATGTTCCCCTCCCCGTGTCCATGTGTTCTCTTTATTCAACACCCACTTATGAATGAGAACATGTGGTATTTGGTTTTCTGTTCTTGTGTCAGTTTGTTGAGAATGATGGTTTCCAGCTTCATCCATGTCCCTGCAAAGGACATGAACTCATCCTTTTTTTAAGGCTGCATAGTATTTCATAGAGTATATGTGCCACACTTTCTCTATCCAGTCTATTATTGATGGGTATGTGGGATGGTTCCAGGTCTTTGCTATTGTAAACAGTGCCTCAATAAACATACACGTGCATGTGTCTTTATAACAGAACAATTTATAGTCCTTTGAGTACATAGCCAGTAATGGGATTGCTGGGTCAAATGGTATTTCTCTTTCTAGGTCCTTGAGGAATTGCCACACTGTCTTGCACAACAGTTTAACTGATTTGTACTTCCACCCACAGTGTAAAAGCGTTCCTATTTCTCCACATCCTCTCTAGCATCTGTTGACTCCAGATTTTTTAATGATCACCATTCTAACTAGCATGAGACAGCATCTCAGAGTGGTTTTGATTTGCACTTCTCCAATGACCAGTGATGATGAGCTTTCTTTCATGTTTTTTGGCTGCATAAATGTCTTCTTTTAACAAGTACCTTTCATATCCTTTGCCCACTTTTTGATGGAGTTGTTTGTTTATTTTTTTCTTGTAAATTTGTTTAAGTTCTTTGTAGATTCTGGATATTAGCCCTTTGTCAGATGGGTAGATTGCAAACATTTTTCCCATTCTGTTGGTTGCTGGTTTACTATAATGATAGTTTCTGTTGCTGTGCAGAAGCTCTTAAGTTTAATTACAGCCCATTTGTCTGTCTTGGCTTTTATTGCCATTGCTTTTGATGTTTTAATCATGAAGTCTTTACCTATGCCTATGTCTTAAATGTTATTGCCCAGATTTTCTTCTAGGGTTTTTATGGTGTTAGGTCTTATATTTAAATGTTTAATCCATCTGGAGTTAATTTTTGTATAAGGTATAAGGAAGGGGTCCAGTTTCAGCTTTCTACACATGACTAGCCAGTTTTCCCGACACCATTTATTAAGCAGGGAATCCTTTCCCCATTGCTTGTTTTTGTCAGATTTGTCAAAGATCAGATGGTTGCAGATGTGCAGTCTTACTTCCGAGGCCTCTGTTCTGTTCCATTGGTCTATATGTCTGTTTTGGTACCAATATCATGCTGTTTTTATTACTGTAGCCTTATAGTATAGTTTGAAGTCAGGTAATGTGATGCCTCCAGCTTTGTTTTGTTTTGTTTTTGCTTAGGATTGTCTTGGCTATGCAGGCTCTTTTTTGGTTCCATATGAAGTTTAAGGTGGTTTTTTACAGTTCTGTGAAGAAGGTCAGTGGTAGCTTGATGGGGATAGCATTGAATCTATAAATTACTTTGGGCAGTATGGCCATTTTCATCGTGCTTTTTAAATGGACACAGTTCAGTCCACAGCACTGATCATTTAATACAAATGTAATGCATTTAATGCACTATATTTTAGGTTGTTTGAGTGTTTTCAATGGTTTTGCTTTTGTCATATTCTTTCCTCGGATACTCATACTGTGTTGGACACTATTACATTTTCATGAGCCAATCCTAGCGGACACTTCTGTGGCCATTTCAGCACAGAATATTGATAATATCATTTCTATGATTTAATTTTCCTTCCATTTACCTTTTTATTCAATATTATTAAGTTGGAATTGGTGCTAAATAATTTGTACTGTGCTATGTTTAGTTTAAAACTCAGAAGTGAAAATCATTTTCTGTCTTTTAGATCATACACACATCTGATAGTTTTCTACTTTATTAACTCTAAATATTATATTAATATTATACTGTTGCTCCGAAAGTACCATGAACCACCGATATATAATAGTTTGTATTATGTATAACATATCTATACCTTAATAAAAATATAAAAACATGAAAACAAAACAAAATAAAAACTTTAATGCTGCAACTTATGTAATTTTAATATCCCATCTAGTAATAGTCAGATTCATTGTCTTATTTATGTTGAATTTAGCTCTTCCAAATTATAATTATATATACAGGTTGAAGGGGTCCTTCTCCTATTAGTATTAGCACAGACTTAATATTGGCAGGCATTTTTTATCTTCAGGAAATTCTATACTACAGATACGATTATTTATTAAAAATTGATTGAAGCAAGATTTTTAAAATTATAGTGAAGAAACAGGAGGTAGGGAAGAGTGTAATGTCACTGGGCTTCTGTCACTGTTTTAGTCATTATTAGTCACTATAATCAGTCACTATTTTGAAAATTATGCATGTAAGTAATCGGAATAATTTATGAAGGTTTAATTTAGTAAAATTAAATAAAAACAGGATATTATGGCATTTTCTGAAATATTACCTTTGTTTTTTGCTTATTCCTCATAGGCTGGTATCCCATGCATGCTATCCACTTTTCAAGGACCAAAATGCTACCAATAGTGGATGTGCCATGGCAAGCAGGTCTGATGGACGAGGAAAACGGCATGCCACAAAGCCATGTCCCAACAACATAGAAAAATCTAACAGGATCTACCAATGTTCTCCTCCATACAGAGTCTCTTCCAGTGTAAGTCTAAATGCAAAGAATCAAGAATAGTTGACTTTCTCAAACATATGTATCACTGCTGTAACTAAAACAATTTAAAAACTATTTAAAACTATTATATTCTAAAATAAATATATTATTTTCATGTATCATTTTTAATATTTTTAAGTACTTTTAGTTTTGGTATCATGTCTTATCTGTGTAATATTAGCAATGTAAAAATTAGCTTCAATTAAAAAAATGTCCAAGGAAATAGTGTTTTAAAATTATGTTTCATAATATGTATATATAAATGTATTTGAACTTGACAAAAGCTTAAACACTTTTTCATTGACTTTTTTGGTGCGGTTAGCTCATTTTTTCAATCCTTGCCTCACTCAACAAAATAATTTAAGAGGATCTGGGTCTAACAGGAAAAATACCGCCTTGGATTCTAGGTTGTCTGTTAAAAGCCTCTGCAAATTTACTTCATCATATCAGTGTTACCCAAGCCTTCTCATTTTCAGAATTTGCAAACCTCCAGTGCCTCCCAGTTATCTCCAGAATACAATTCAGTATTTAACCATGGCACACTGACCTTTGTTTTTGAGTTGATTTTGACTTACTAGTTTTGTTCACTTATGTCCTGCCACCATCTGCCACTCTACCAGCACATAATGTTCCTTATATATAGAACTAGTCCCTGTTCCCCAGGTACACCATGCTGTGTTATACTTTTCCACCTACCTAGGAGATAATTCCTTGGATGCAAATGGTTATTAAACCTTTCCATCTAGAATGCCAAACAAATGTTAAGGCCCAGGTAAAAACTTTATCTTCTCTGTGAAGTTTTCCTTGATTTCTAGGCAGAATTAATTTCCCTTTTTTTGTTTGCAATCATAACACTGTGCTTGTCTCTACAATTGATCTCATTATGTAATAATGGAATTAGTAGTGTCATTCAACCAAACTGTAAATAACTTGAGTATAGGTGCAGGGTTAATACTTGTTCCTGTCATAGTTTCTGGCATGTAGTTTGTGCTCAGCGTGCACAGAATGAATGAATGAGTGCCCTGCCGCCCTACAGATGGCTGCATTATACATTAGGAGACATCATAGACATATTTGTACTAAAACTACTGCAACAACTAAACAATCATTTGGGATAGCTCTTGTGAGAAAAAGACTACAGGTACTATTAATCTCCACTAATTAAATATTGTTTAAACTTACCTTGTTTATTTTTTTATAACCATAAAAAGTTACTGTGTTTCCTCTCCACTCCAAAATTACTACTTAGTGATAAATGTCATTAAAACAAATGGGTGCTTCCTGTCTTTAACAATTTCATTGATGCAGCATAATAACATGAGTTTTTCAAAGTATGATTGAGAGTGAATTGCAAACACTTAATATTGTACACCAATCAATAGGTTTAGTATGCTCTGATAATGATATTGCTCATTCATATTTTTCCATCCAGGAAACTGAGATAATGAAAGAAATCATGCAAAATGGGCCAGTTCAAGGTAAGCCTGGATGAAAGATAGTTTTCTCTTATTCATTCTTTTAATAAGCAACATTACACTGAGCTCACGTAATAGGAGTTTAATAAAAGAAAGAAAAATTTCACTTTAGGAATATTCAAAAGGGTTCAACACTTAAAAATTAGTGCAGTTATGAGAGATATGCTTAGCTATATCTTACTTAGCTGCCATTTTATTTTCAGAAGATAGAGTAATTTAAAAATTGAACTCCTAAATATTACATATTTGATGAATGTCTCCAGAGTCTTTCCAGAGTGATCCTGACCAACAGAAAGTCAAACATGAAATGCCAACTGATTAATTTGTAATGAAGCTTACTTTATTCAGTCATATTTAAGAATCATACATGCCGTTTTCTTGCCTTCAGTTTAAATGGATTAGGTAGTGGATTAAAATAAATTGAGGATTAATAGTTTCCTTCTATTAGCTCAAAGTAAATAGAATACACCAGAAAGCTATTGAATCTGATCAATTTTGTAAATGTTTTATGTGGAGTAAACTAACAGTAAATAATAAAATAACACAGTTACTTATTGTACATTGCCTTTGATTTATATTATCTCTGATAATAATTTATTCTGCTTACCTGTTGAATTTTATTTTGCTCCAATGGCCTGGATAAGGGTAAATTCACAGAATGTATTCCCTGTATAAACATTGACTTGAAGTGCGTGGAAGAACAAATCCAATGAGGCCAAAAATGAAAATTTAGGTTTTTGAATACTGAAGGGCCTGGAATATATTATCAATAAAGTGGAATAAAAAATAGGCCAAAATTAAATGTAAAAACATTTGTTGCATACCTAAGAAACTAGTGCCAATTTTAATTTTTCTGAACACTGATCTAATTATATTGGTTACATATATATAGACAAGAATCATAAATTTTATAATTGTGTGGGATAAATTTTTATTGATCATTTTCACCACTTGGCATTTATTGGAAACCACGGCTTACATAAACATGTCCTGAATTTAATTTTTAAAAATTGTGGGACATTACTCAAAACCTGAAAAAAATGAAGAGAAGTTTTCTGTTCCCCCTTACAGCTTTGTAAGCTGTGTATTTGTTGGTCATTTTAAGAGTGAGGGAAATAATCTTTAATTTCAAGGCATGCTCCACTAATATGCTCCACAAATTTAAAGGCTCACAGGCTTCTGAACTCAAGGTTGCACTAAAAAATCCCAATTTTGGCATTTGCTATTTAAATAACTGGGCAATTTACTTAACCTTTCAGAATCTTCAAGTCATTGTATTATTGTTTCAAGCATTTTTTTCTTCTTCCCTCTCTCCCTCTTTTTTAAAATAAGTCAAACAATTTTGAATTGTAATTATTTCAAATGAGAAAATATAAATACCTTAGGTTTATTTTATGGCCATATACTGAAATGCTCCTAAATTTCAAAGAATGAATCAAAAATAAAGAATAACATTTAAAAGCAATAAAACAAAAATGCAAGTTATTCGACACCCAATTTACAAAGGTTTCTTGAGAACCTGCTTCCTACCCGTCTAAGTCAGGAGCAAGAGAGGAACAACAATCAAGGCTCTCATCCATCTTAAAATTCTGTATCATGAATTTGCTGTAATTTTCCAAAAGTAAAATTGCATTATCATAACTTGTATAGTTATGTATTTGTGGATTTATCAAGTGGGTTTGGTATCAGAAACTGCAGAAAGAAACCATCTTTCAGGTAATTATGATGGCTTCTCATCCTTTTTCTTTAGTTGGCAGTGTTTTTCAGGAATAATGAATATATTTTATTTATGATGCTTAGAGAAACACTGAATCATAAGACCTAAGAGTGTGAATGGTTCTATAGAAAAGAAAAACCACTAGAAATATCTTCACATTTTTATAAATGGATAGAATGCTGGTTGACTCTTCTTGCAATCGATGTTACAGGATTACCTGCTTGTTATTGTCTGGCCTTGCATACCGCATTTTCCCTGTCTCAGTATGTAAGAGTGTAAAGGCAATAGAACCCTGAATGAATAACATTGTGTACATTCTTCTAAAATCTGTAGGATTAAAAATAAGTATAGGTGATGAGAAGAGAACAAAAGCAGAGATCTGTATCGAGTCTACAGTTACATAAATTCTTAAAATCCTATAGGAATGTGTTTTAGAGTAGATAAAGAAGTTTTAACCTTTTGTGACTATTTGCACAGCATCAGAAAAGGCATGGAACATTAAACAATGAAACAAAAAGTGGAACATTAGAAAAGCTACATTTAACTTTCAAGTATAAGTTTTTGTTTTAAGGATCTGTCAAACACTAGTTAGGTTAGTTCCTGTTTTATTTAAAATGCTTGTCTAATTAAGACAAGCATTTTACACAGTTATCAAGATAAACATATCTAATCCCAACTAAAAATTTTTAAATTCATATGTTCTAGAAGAGAAGTTTAAAGTCTTCATCCTGAATTGCCACAGCCCTTCCACAAAGCAGCACACAATAGAGAAATGAAGTAATCTAGGTAAGGGAATGAAGGACAGGTGTCTAAAGTATAAACTCTACTTTTCCAAGTGTACAACATTGCTTATCTCTCCAGAGCTGGGAGGATGAAATCCTATCAAAGTTTTCTTTTGCTAGGAGTTTGCTTTTTTTATTCTAGCTCACCAAAGAAAGATTCGTATTTACTTATGAGGATTAAGGACAATTGCTTTAAGCCCAGTTTGCTAGGCTCTGCTAGCTTAATTGGAGTTTTAAGAGGCTTGTGATAAAGCACAAGGTTAATGGAGAAATCACAGACCAAGTATAGTGTGCTTTTCCTGCAAGGGCTTAATTTTTGGTAGTAGAGTCTCTGCTGATTAGACTAGATGGTGTTTTAAAAGCATAATGCATACTTAATAATTCTAAATAGTTAAAAGTTGTTTTTATAAGATAACAAAAGATATTTCAACTAATTAAATTAAGTAGGAAAGAAAATTAGGCAAATTGCACACCCCTTTTTAAATTGAAGTCCTTGCAATTTACCCATTGATTGTTCTGTGAAATTTTCTGGTGGTTTTTAAAGATATTTTAATGCTGTGTTTTGTTGGATTTTATTTTAGCCATAATGAAAGTCCATGAGGATTTCTTCCATTATAAGACAGGAATATATAGACATGTTACCAGCACAAATAAAGAATCAGAAAAATTTCAAAAGCTTCAGACACATGCAGTCAAACTCACTGGGTAAGGCAATTAAAAAAAATTACTCCTGTAATGCTTTTGGAAAATGAAACTGAAAATAAGAATATGTAGTGTTTTCAATGCTAGAATTTCTTTTGTAGGATAGATTGTGATACAAATGAAAAATGATCTAAGCCTTGCTACTATTTAGTCATTATTTTCAAGTCCAGTAATAGGCTAACTCGGCATTCTGGGGACAAAATGATCATTTTCTAGCTCTCACTTCTTGTCACTATGTCCTGAAGAATCTGTTCTAAGGGCAAGGAAAATATATTATTGAAATAATTTCTACATATGGCATAATCAAGGAAAGAGAGCAAATCCAAGGTGTATTATGGTTTGGGAAAACGGTTGTGAATAGAATTGCAAATAGCAAAGATTAAGCAGAAAGAGACGTAAGGTCACCTATAATTCAATGTAAGGTTACTTTATGTGAGAATTGTCAAAATTAGATTGATCAAATTTGTAAGTAAAATATGTTAATCTATGCAAGAGCAAGAAAGAAGTTCAGAATTTGGTGGTGGAATTTTAGGAGTGAGTTATTTTTAATATAGGCCCTACTCTGAAAGACAGTGTGGTTATGAGACCACTTTCCCAGTGCTTTCTCAATTCGTTCTGACTAAAACATCTCATAATGTCTCGCTCTAATTCAAATGACATGCTACAAAGTTTTCTTATCCATCTAAAACCCTCACTGTTCTCATCTTGGATATTATGGTAAATAACTTCATTCTATTGAACATGTCCTTAATGACTTAATTTTATTGAGCCTACACAAAACAACCGCACCTACAATCAAATTATCTTCTCCTTACTGATCTTTGAAACACCTTTAAATCACTACGGATCTTTGAAACATCTTTAAATCACACCGGATAGACAAACTATCCAGTGTGATGTCTCTTTAATCGTTGTCCCTCTTTTGTTTTAAATACTTGAATATTTCAATTAAAAAATCATCACCTTTTTTTGAAGCTAAGATAATACTAATTTTATGACTTGTGTTGATTTCAGGAATGTGAAAATACATGTATTTTAAGATTGAAGAATATGATGTTTCATATTAATGTAGAATACTAAATCTACAAATTGGAAAAAAAAAATGTAATACATGTGTGTATGTGTGTATTTATAAATGTTTTCACCATTCAGAGATAATAACCTCTGTTGAAATTTCCGAGTATTTTTAATGAATCTCCTAGGTATATAACTGTAGAGAAACAAGAAAGAAAGGAAAGGAAAGAAAGAGATGGAAGGGAGGAAGAAAGGGAGGGAGGGAGGAAAGGAGGAAAGAAGGAAGGAAGGAAAAGAAAGTGATTTCACAGGAAAGCAAGATACTATAGTACTTCAGATTTTTTGAAAAGGAAAATTTTTCTAATGTTTTCATGACGGTATATTAAGATGCCAGTTTGTAACATTCTATCAAATACTGAATTTGAAAGAAACACTTTTCCATTTTAATAGGGTTATAAAACTGAAGAGTTTTAATTATTCAGCATAACTTGTCTTTAGAAGCCTATGGTAGCTTCCTATTACCCTACTTTTTAAGGTTATATGGAAAAAGATGCTTGCCTTAATTTTTTAAAAGTGTATCATTTTTAATAAAATGATGTTATACTCACTACTAAAATTAATAACTAAAAAGAAGATAGTTAAAAAACAAAACAAAACAAATCAGGTTGGATTCAGTTGCTCATGCCTGTAATACCAGCACTCTGGGAGGCCAAGGCAGGTAGATTGCATGAGGTCAGGCATTTGAACTCTTATCTTTACAAAAAAATACAAAAATTAAGATGGCCAAATAAGAACAGCTCTGGAGTGCAGGTCCCAGTGAGAACAATGCAGAGAGTGAGTGATCACCACATTTCCAAATGAGTTTTTACTGCCCACAGACCAGGAGATTCCTGGGCCAAAAAGTACCATGAGTTTCCAGCACAGCTGTTTCATCTGGTGCAGCTGGTTTCTACATAAAAATTCACATAAATCTTGGCAGCTATTTCAACTGGTGCCTGGAACACCTGGGAGACAGAGCCACCCATTTAACTGAAAAAGAAGGAGCTGAAACAGGGATCCAGCTGATCTGATTCAGTGGATCCCACCCCTACAAAGACCAGCAATCTGAAATGCTCAGGGTTGAGAGTTTCACAGCAAGTGCAGCTGGATCCTGGACTGTCCGGCTTGGCTGGGGGAAAGCCATCTGCCATTACCAAGGCAGTCCACCACTACCAAGGGAGTTCACCACTACCGAGGCAGTCTGCCATTACCAAGGCAGTCTGCCATCACTGAGGCAGTCCGCCATTACCGAGGCAGTCCGCCATTACCGAGGCAGTTCCAACTGTATTTCTGTAAACAAAACTGCAAGGAAGTTTACACAGCAGCTGGGCAGAGCCCGCAGCAGCACTTGAACTCCCAGCACAGCACTTGAGCTCCTATAAGGGACAGATTGTCTCCACAAGCAGCTCCCCAACCCCTGTATATCTAAAGAGACACCTCATAAAGAAGAGCTCAGGCTGACATCTGACAGGTACCCTTCTGGGACGAAGATAACAGTAGAAGAAACTGGCAGCAACACCTCTGCTGGCAGACTGTGACTAGACTACCTCCTTGCAGGGCAGGGTATCTCTGAAAAAAGGCAACAGAACATCAGGAACTTATGAACAAAGCCCCACCTTCCCAGCACAGAGCACCTGGGAAAAGACAGTTATGAGTTCCGCTGCAGCAGATTTAAACATATCTTTCCAGCGGCTCTCAGTGGAACAAGAGCTTCCAGCACAGCACATGAGCTCCTATAAGGGACACACTGTTTCTACAAGCAGCTCCCCAACCCCTGTATATCTAAAGAGACACCTCATAAAGGAGAACTCACACTGACATCTGGCAGGTACCCTTCTGGGATGAAGATAACTGTAGAAGAAACTGGCAGCAACCCTTACTGTTCTGTAGCCCCTGTGGGTAATCCACAGGTAAGCAGTGTCTGGAGTGGACCTCCAGCAGTCCTGCAGCAGAGGGGCCTGACTGTTAGAAGGAAAACTAAAAAACAGAAAGAAATAGCTTCAACATCAACAAAAAGGATGTCTACTCAAAGACTCCATCTGAAAGCTGCCAACTATGAAGACCACAGGTAGATAAAGCCATGAAGATGGAAATAAACCAGCACAAAAAGGATAATAACTCCAAAAACCAGAACACCTCTCCTTCTCCAAGGGATCACAACTCCTCACCAGCAAGGGAACAAAGTTGAATGGAGAATGAGTCTGTTGAATTGACAGCAACAGGCTTCAGTAGGTGGGTAATAACAAACTACTCTGAGCTAAAAGAACATGTTTTAATCCAATACAAAGAAGCTAAGAACCTTGACAAAAGTTTGACAAAATGCTAATGAGAATAAACAGCATAGAGAAGAATATAAATGACTTAATGGAGCTGAAAAATACAACATGAGAACTTCACGAACCATACACAAGTTTCAGTAGACGAATTGACCAAGCAGAAGAAATGATATTAGAAATTGAAGAACAAATCAATGAAATAAAATGAGAAGGCAAGATTAGAGAGAAAAAGTGCAAAGAAATGAACAAAGCCTCCAAGAAATATGGGATTATGTGAAAAGACCTAATCTGTGTTTGATAGGTGTACCTGAGTGTGATGGAGAGAATAAATCCAAGCTGGAAAACACCCTTTAGGATATTATACAGGAGAAGTTCCACATTTAGCAAGGAAGGCAAATATTCAAAGCCAGGAAACACAGAAAAGACCACAAAGATATTCTTCAAGAAGAGCAACCCTAAGGCACATAATCGTCAGATTCACCAGGGTTAAAATGAAGGAAAAAATGCTAAGGGCAGCCAGAGAGAAAGGTCAGGTCACCCACAAAGGAAAGCACAACAGACTCACAGAAGATCTCTCGACAGAAACCCTGCAAGCCAGAAGAGAGTGGGGCCAATATTCAACATCCTTAAAGTAAAGAACTTTCAACATAGAACTTCATATCCAGCCAAACTAAGCTTCATAAACCAAGGAGAAATAAAATCCTTTATGAACAAGCAATTGCCAAGAGAGTTCGTCACCATTGGACCTGCCTTACAAGAGCTCCTGAAAGAAGCACTAAACACAGAAAGGAACAACCAGTACCACCCACTCCACAAATGTACCAAATGGTAAAGAGCATCGACACAATGAAGAAAATGCATCAACTAATGAGCAAAACAACCAGATAGCATCAGAATGGCAGGATCAAATTCACATGTAATGATATTAACCTTAAATGTAAATGAGCTAAATGCCCCAATCAAAAGACACAGACTGGCAAATTGGATAAAAAGTCAAAAACTATCAGTGTGCTGTATCCAGGAAACCCATCTCACTTGCAAGGACACACATAGGCTCAAAATAAAGGGATGGAGGAAGATCTACCAAGTAAATGGAGAGAAAAAAAAAGGAGTTGCAATCCTAGTCCCTGATAAAAAAGACTTTAAACTAACAAAGCCCAAAAGAGACAAAGAAGGGCATTACATAATGATGGTAAAAGGATCAATGCAACAAGAAGAGTGAATGAACCTAAATATATACACACCCAATTCAGGAACACCCAGATACATAAAGCAAATTCTTAATGACCTACGAAGAGACTTAGACTCCCACACAATAATGGTGGGAGACTTTAACACTCCACTGTTGATATTAGACAGATCAACAAGACAGAAAATTAGCAAAGATATCCAGACTTAAACTCAGATCTGGACCAAGCAAACCTAATAGATATCTACAGAACTCTCAACTCCAAGTCCACAGAATCTACATTCTTTTCAGGACCACATCACACTTACTCTAAAATTGACCACATAATTGGAAGTAAATCACTCTTCACATATGAAAAAGAACAGAAATCATAGGAGTCTCTCAGACCACAGTGCAATCAAATTAGAACTCAGAATTAAGAAACTAACTCAGAACCTCACAACTTCATGGAAACTGAACAACTGGCTCCTGAACTTTGACTGGAT